AGCCTTGTGGAGACCCCTGCCAGCGCTGAGATGCTTACACATTCATGACTCGGCTTTCCTCCTGCAGTCGTCATTGTTGCCTCTGTTTTGTGAGATGGAGGAGGACTTTGTGGACTGCTGTTGGACATATGGGTTAATGGGTTAATGTTGGACTTGTGGGCTTGGGCAGCACTGGGTTGGGATATTTTCTTGATGCGCACTTAACCTTTACATAAAACTCGCTCTTTTACATGAGTTTCTGTGGATTTGTTTCTCCAAAGTACCCAGTCTAATACAATAGTTAAATGTGCAAAAACTAGAGGTAAAAGATAATGTAGGTCTGCATGGTGGGGTTTTCAAACAATTTATAGGAAAATTGCATTCTCTTTTCATTCTATTTTCCATAAATTTATTGAAGCTTCTTTGTATAAAGCCTTTAGGAAGTAAAATACACAGGACTTGATAACCAGTTGGATGTGAGTGGACAAAGAGATATACACCAAGTTTAATGGTGACGGTGATAATGCTTATTTTGAAGTACCAGAAGAAACAGTGGATGCATTCTTGGACCTGAAGAGAGAACTATGGACTTAGAATGACAGACGAAATCGTCATAAAAAATGTGAGAGCTGGAAACTCTGGAACTGGCAAGAAGATAAGGTGGGAGTGAACAGAAAAAAAACCCAACATTTCTTGGGTGAACATAAGAGAGGGAAATCAGAAGAGTGAGCTACCTAGGGAACAGTGGGAGGAATACCTAGAAGGGAGTGGTTAGTGGAACATATGAGGAGGTACCCCCCAATATGGAAAAATAAAATCTCTGCTGGGCAGAGCTTTCGAAGTATGCATTTTTCCTGCTAGGTGAGCATTGAGCAACTCTCTCTGAGTTAGTGCACTCAGTGCCATCACCTGGAAAGGTTCTCTCTGGTTATGAGAATTTTTTCATGAAAGCATTTTTGCTCAAACCTTGATTTTTGTGATGGCCAATTTAAAAGAACAGCGTGCAGCTGTGAAACTTTGTTTCCTGATGGTGAAAAATGCCTCAGAAACTGTTGTGATGTTGAACACAGCTTACAAGGACAGAACTATGGGAAAAACTCAAGTGTACAAGTGATTTTCTCATTTCAAAAAAGGCCAAATATCGATTGATGAAAAACTTCATCTGGATGTCTACTTCCCTTACAGATGAAAATGTCATCTTGTAGTGCATTTGATGTAATTCCACCAGGTCAGACTGCTAATCAAGATTTCTATTCAGAGGTTCTGAAAAGATTGCTTAGCACTGTGGGAGAAAAAAGGCCTGATGTATGGCAGAGGTGGGGACTGGTTTTGCCACCACAACAATGCACCTGCTCACACATCAATCTCAGTGCATCAGTTTTGGGCAAAAATCAGCATTCCTCTCTTACCCCATGCACCTGACCTATCTGCGTGAGGTTTCTTTTTGTTTCTGCAAATGCAGAGGGACCTGAAAGGAAAGAAATTTGACAACTTAGAAGAGGTGAAGAATAAACTAGGGAGGTGCTGTCAGCCATCCAAACAGATGAGTTTGAAAAATGCTTCCAAGAATGGAATTGCAGATTTTACAAATGTATTAAGTGTAATACTTGAAGGTGATAAGGTTTTTATGTAAAAAATTTAAATACATATCTTTGGAAAAAAGCCATGGTCCTTGTCTCATTTACTTTTCTTTCTTTTTTGATGTGATGAGACTGCTTTTACCCTGGCTTTATTCTGATCCTTTAGAGTAGGATATGCTTATTCAGCCAGGTATAGTCTAGTAACCTTGTGAATGAAAAATGTCAAGAGAATTAAAAACCAATAATGGAGCCATAATTTCACTGATTTTCATCCAATTTCAGAAAATTCACATGTATGCCTTTGGGGGGCGGCGGAAGTAAATGGGAGGTGGAGAAGTCTTTGGATACATTCAGTACAGATTGAGAGAGAACAATATGGTGCAATAAGTATGGTTTCTGTCTTAAAGATGAGGAAAATAAGTCACAAAGAAGGGAAGAAACTTGCTCAGCTAGGAACTATAGGTACTGAGTTGCAAACAAAAATATGGCTGTGTGGTAGTTACATAATCTGGTGTCAGTTTGGGACTTGAGAGGATTAAGAGTGAAGGGAAGGAGTTTAGTCTGTCAATCGGGCTATAGCCAATGTAGCCTCTGTGTGGGCATGGCCTTCTCCTGAGAATTCTGGGAGCTCCTGTATTTTTCCTCCTTGAAGATGGGAGACAAATTCTTTCTCTGCTCACTTCTTTGGAAACTCTCTACTGACAAAGCTGACTCCCTGCGAGACATCCCTAAGGAGAACCCACATGGACGTACTCTGATGCAGCCCAACCCTGGACCTTGAGAAGCCATGTAGAGACCCCTGCTAGCACTGAGATGCTTACAATGCCACCAGATCTACAAAACCCCACCCACTGGCCTGTGATCTTCCTGAATTTGGCATCATTGCATGTGTTTTGTGAGTCTGATGAGGACATTATAGATTGGTGTCGGACATATGGGGGCTAATATCAGACTTATGGAATTGATCTGGACTGGGTTGGGATGTTTTCTCAATGTTCAATTGCTCTTGTATATAAACCTCTTCCTTATACACATATTCATGTTTATGAGTTTGTTTCTCTAGTCTACCCAGACTAACAAAGCCTGATTTCAAAAATACTGTTCTTTCCATTGAACCCCCCAAAATGAACAATTATAAGACCATATATGGAGTTAAAGCTAGGAGTAAGGATGAACTTAAAGTTGAGGGTGACCTCACTTACTCATCTCATAGTTTTCTTTCTATGAGGTAGGCACCAGCTGACAAAGAGGGGTGGGAATGGACAGTGAATTAAAGGATGTGTTTAGTCCTGAGACCATGGCTGCAGGGTATGGGAGATTGAGGGAGCTCTGAAAAAGTGATCAGCTTACCCTAATGACAAAATGAGGTGGGTAATCTTGATTTTGTAGTACCGGGAACAGGATTGATAAGGTCAGTGATTTAAGTCACTGGTAAAGCCACTGAGCCCATGGGTAAATTTTTAGGGCCTAGGAATATTGGGAGTAGAAGAGTTGAGGCTAGAGGATGGGTCAGAAGAGATGAGAGAAAAGACTTCAGCCAAAGATGGAAAAGCAGTAGGATCTGACGAGATGTTGGCAGTCAACGGGACTCCTGAGTAGAGTCAGTCTTGGGTGAGAAACCAGTTGTCATCTGACAGTAGGACTTGCCCTGGAAACCTCAGTTGTTTCCTGCCCTCTCACTGTCTTCATTTTACTTGATGTACTTAGATATGCTGCCTTTGTATATATTCAGTGAATATTATTAAATATTCTTTCCCAGAGTACATGCCTCTTTTGCTTTAATCAGTTTTGAATTTAAGAGACTGAGGTAGTTTATTGTGCCAACCTGGCCGATAAACACATGTGGGGTTAATTGAAGGGTGGAGGGATAAATGGCTTGGTGAGCCTCACCTTTCTAGTTCTCGGGTCTCTTACTTTGTGATGATCAGACCAGGGTACAGCTGCCTTAGCCAATTCCCTGCTTCAGCTGGCAAGGTTCACTTCCTGCAAGACATTCCCAAGGAGAAGCCACATGGACCTACCCCAATGCAGCCCTGGGTGCTGGAGCAGCCATGTGGAGACCCCTGCCAATGCTGAGATGCTTACACGTTCACTGATTCGGCTTTCCTCCTGCAGTCTGCATCATTGCATGTGTTTTGTGAGATGGAGGAGGACTTTGTGGATTGGTGTCAGACATATGGATTAATGTTGGACTTGTGGGCTTGGGCAGCACTGAGTTGGGATGTTTTCTTGATGTACACTTAACCTCTCTTTTATACATGAGTTTCTGTGGATTTGTTTCTCTAATGTACCCAGACTAATACAGAGACTATCCTAGAAGATTTGGAAGAGGGAGATTTAATCAGATTATGAAAAGCTATGAAGAGGTTGCACTTTATCTAACAAGCTGTGAGGTGGCATTGAGGGCTTACCTTACAGTGATGTCAGAATGCTCAGGGATGACAGCTTGACACCAGAGATCAGTGTTCTGTTGGCCTAGCAACTGCCAGTCCATATATACCTAATTAATCTATATATTATGAACTGAGTATCCAAATTCCTAGCTATGATGCAGAGACTGTATTGGGGATGGAGCATTACAAGATAGATGCAGGGTCCTCACCCTAGATTGCACACACCAAGAGAGCACAGATAAGGGGGCATGTAATAATTTATAGCTGAAATCTGCATGCAATCATTTGGAATCCTTGAGTAGGGAAAGGAGATTAGAGAAGGATTCATAGGAGCACGAGTTTGAGGGTCAGGCAGAACAGCATATGCAAAGGCACCACTTGTGAAGTGTCCTGACCTGTAAGGGCACCCGTCTCTGGGCCTGTAATAAGGCAGTGGCAGTGCGAGTCAGAAGTAGGGAACCTATTGGAAACCATGCTGCTTGTGAAGGCTTCATTGTTTTCTTTTTTTCTTAACTTTTATTATGAATTTGGTGAGAGTTTATAAAGCAGGTCAATTTTCCATTCAACAAGTCATACATATATAGTTTCGTGTCATTGATTGTCATACCTACAATGGAACATCTTATCCCACTTTCTATGTGCTTCCTGTTTCCATTCTTCCTTTTCTAACCTGTCTTAATTTTGTTCTTGGGTAAATGTTGCCATCTTAATCTCAAATAGTTGATTATTCTAAGTTGTGTATACTTCCCTAATATTATTGTTCACCTTATAAACCTGAATATTATTTTGGCTGAAAATTGGCCCATAGAAATTTCACTTTCAGACTACAGGACAGGATGACTTAAGACCATAGTCCTGGGAGTTCTACCAATTTTTGTTCAATCAGTAAGCCTGGTATAAGGGTAAGGGTTTACGTTATTTGCCATCCGGGCCTTTGATGGGAACCCTCAGACTCTCTCCTTTATTTCTGTTGGGTTTTTTTTGTCACTCACAGATCTGGCATATCTTCCTGCTCATAATAAAACTATTTCTGCTCCATCCAGCCAAGATGAACCTCATGGACATCAACAAGATCTTCTCCCTCCTGCAGCCGGACAAGGAGGAGGAGGGCACAGACACTGGGGAGAAGCTGGCTCTCAACCAGGCAGTATATAACAATGACTTCCAGACACTGGACCTGCTTTTGTGCCAGGAACGTTACAAACGTTTTATAAACAGCAGGAGTGGCTGGGGTGTTCCTGGTACACCCTTACGTTTGGCCGCAGCTTATGGCCACCTGAGCTGTTTGCAGGTCCTCCTGGCACATGGTGCTGATGTCGACAGCCTGGATGTCAAGGCACAAACACCTCTTTTTACTGCTGTCAGTCATGGCCACGTGGACTGTGTGCGTGTGCTTTTGGAAGCTGGAGCTTGTCCTGGTGGTAGTATCTACAACAACTGCTCTCCCGTGCTCACAGCTGCCCGTGATGGTGCCATCACCATCCTAGAGGAGCTCCTAGGCCATGGAGCAGAGGTCAATGTCAAGGCTAAACTACCAGTCTGGGCATCAAACGTAGCTTCATGTTCTGGTCCCCTATATTTGGCTGCAGTCTATGGGCACCTTGACTGTTTCCGTCTGCTTTTGCTCCATGGGGCAAACCCTGACTACAACTGCACAGATCAGTACCTTTTGGCCCATGTCCCACAGCCTCGCACCCTTCTTGAAATCTGTCTTCACCATAATTGTGAACCAGAGTACATCCAGCTGTTAATTGATTTTGGTGCTAACATCTACCTTCCATCTCTCTCTTTGGACCTGACCTCACAAGATGATAAAGGTGTTGCACTGCTGCTACAGGCCCGAGGTGAGTAGTAAGCAGAACAACCCTATAAAGCTTCCTGTGTTAGGGGTCCTAGGGCTCTGTATCAACCTCCTCCAAAGCCAATCTTTTGGGGATAAATTGGAGAACACATCATTTTCCTCCATTTTCTAGGATCCAGGTGAAGAAGAGGTTGCATATTCCATGTTAGGAGAGGGTCACTAAGAAAAGATGGGTGTTAAAATTAGCCCAGATAATGATCATGAATTTGCCAATACTGTGTGACCTTGAACAAGTCCCCTCTGGGTTTCAGTGTATCCTTAGTACCATATGTTGGGGCAGTGTGAGAGATATTTCTGAGAAGGGAGAGGGAAATTAGGGGTGGGAGCTTACACTAAGGACTGCTCCTCATGACTTTTTTCTCATTACTCTAGCTACCCCACGGTCACTACTATCACAAGCCCGTTTAGTAATCTGCAGAGCCCTGTGCCAAGCTGGCAAGCCACACGCCACCAACCAGCTGGATATTCCCCCTATGTTGATCAGCTACCTCAAACACCAACTGTAATCTTGGAGCCTTCCCAGAATGCCATGATGCCTTCAAAAACCACCTGGGACCCACGTAGCTGGAGGGCACGATAGCTCCACCCACCTATCTGGAGCTGCTCTTTTGCATTATCCTCCTCAATAAAAGTCTTCATAAAATAAATTCTAATGATTGTTGTCTCTTTTGAGGATATGTGTGTACGTGTGGGGGGGTATTGTTGACAAAGGGGTACAGTTGGTTATGGAAAATGATTATAAAGGTCTGCTCTGACAGGTACAAGAGTCCTGGACACTAATAAAGTAAAGGAGGACACAAACCCAATAGCCCATACCTTCTTAGCCAAGATTCTCTAGAGATTTTAGAGTTGCCATAGAAGCAAGGTCCTGAAGAAGCTGAGTGGTTAGAAGGCAGCGTCAGCTTGCCAAGCCCTGTACCTTCCCAAATCAGGAGCTATACCTGAGCCCCTATTATTTTGAATCAAGTGCCCCAGAAGAACCCCAACCCCATTCACTTACCTTGAATTAACAATAATAGCATTAACACCAATGCATTAACATAAACAGCATTAACACCAATGTAGTCTATAGTCAATGTGCAACTGGGAAAACAATGTACAAAATAATTGTAGTAGAAAATTTTATGCAGATTAGTAATTGGCTACATAAGTGATAGGCTGAGAAGACAAACACAACAACCAACACTAGCTCCAGGACACAGCATTTAAAGAATCAGTGACAGGGTTTTCTTGAAAACCAGAATCATGGGCCTGTCCAGTAGAGCTTCAACTATAGGAAAATAAAAGATTCTGCTGAAAAAATTGATGAAACTAGAGGGGAAAAATTACTTCCTTTTCATCATCCCTGCCCTCCAGTATGCTTCTAGTATCTCCCATTGGGGGAAACTAGAAGTCCACTAATAAGAGCTTGGGAGATTAAACCTGAAGAAATCAATCCCCTTCCAATTAAGAGCCAGAGGAAAGTGAGGGATTAAAAGACAGTGGGAGGAATTGGTATGACCTGAGCCACGAAGTGGGACCACTTAGTGGACATCAGAATTATGTTGAGAGCAGGAGACACAGTAGCAACACCTCTCTCCAAGAAAGAAAAGGAGGAGGCTTCTCCATTTGTATGCTACTCTAACCAGTACAGTCATAGATGATTGACTAGAGTCTGAGAAAAACAGCCTGCAGGTGTCATTTCCCCTGTGGTGTGAAACAGAGGGCTGTAAATGGATCTGCAGGAAAAGAAACCCTGAGTCAACAGACATCCACTCAAATCCAGGCACCTTCATTTTGCCAAATCTTCATCCTTCCACAATACCTTCTTGTATGTCTTTGAATATCTGTGGGTGGGTATGAGGGTGATCAGTCAAAAGGACATAGGAAAAATGGAGAAGAACCCAGCTAATCTGTACACAGAAGAACTTGAAACGCTGAGAGCTTTTTCTGAGACCTTCCCTGACAGCCTCCTGCATCATGAAGGAGATAATAGGGTCTTGGACAGACTTGCTTCTGCTCTCTCTCACTGCACTCATTCCTTCTAGGGGCTAGTACCTAGAAGACTTTGGGAAGGAAAGTGAGAAAATGTGTATTTCTGTGATGCTGGCCATCTTGGTATCAGGACTCTCATTCTTAGACTATTTAGAAAATATGACAACTGTTTATCCTCAAGAAGCATGAGATAAAATATTTAGGAATACATCTTACCCAAGAAACAAAAGACTTATACCAAGAAAACAAAATACTCCTTTAAGAAATATGATCAATCATTTTAAAAGGCCAGTAAAACCTGGGTTTCACTCTCAAGATCAGTGGTGAGAGTGGCGATACCAGGAGAGTGGAGGCAAGGTGGGGTAGAAAGGGGGACCCGATCACAAGGATCTACATATAACCCCCTCTCTGGGGGACAGGCAATAGAAAAGTGGGTGAAGGGAGACATCGGACAGTGTAAGAGATGACAAACTAATAATTTATAAATCATCAAGGGTTCATGAGGGAGAGGGGGGCAGGACATGAGGGGACAGGGAGGGAAGGGAAAATGAGGAGCGGATACCAAGGACTCAAGTAGAAAGAAAATGTTTTGAGAATGAAGATGGCAACAAATGTACAAATGTGCTTGACACGATGTATGTATGTATGGATTGTGATGAGTTGTACGAGCCCCGAGTAAAATGATTTTTTTAAAAAGACTAAAAAACACAAAAGAAGCTTACTCAAATGGAACAAGTTACCATGACCATAGATGGACAACCTAAATATTGTGAAAATATTAATATTACCAAAATTACTTCACTAATTCAATGCATTTCTGATCCAAACCCTACCACATTTTTTGAGAGAAATAGAAAAACTACTCACCAGCTTTATATGTAAAGGGAAAGAAACCTAGGATAAATAAAACATTAAAATTAAAAACAGGGTAGGAGGCCTTTCATTACCAGTGCTTTAAGCCTACTACATACCATGGTAATCAAAAGAGCCTGGTACTGGTACAGTGATGAATATGAAAACCAGTGGATTAGAATTGAGAACTCAAATACAACCAAGTACCTCTAAACCCCTAATTTTTAATATAGAACCAAACAAATGAAATGAAAAGGCCCAATGTACATTAAAAGAGAAGGGGATGCCCTCTTCAACAAATGGTGCTTGAAAAAATAGATCTTCTGCCAAAAATACTTCGTACCATGCACAAAACAAATTCAAGATAGCTCAAAGACCTAAATATAAATTGCACAATTATTAAGACCATCAAGGAAATAAAACTAACTTAAGGACCTTAATACAAGGCATAATAAGCACACTACCAAACATAATGAAAAATATTTACATGATAGAAGACAAAATAAAGAATTGGGACCTACCAACAATATGACATTTATGTACAACAAAAGACTTCATCAAAAGAGTCAACAGAAAATCCACAGAGTGGAAAAAACATTCAGTAATAATACATATATCTTGAATTCAGTTACTTCTTACCAAATCCACTGCTTCCACTCTTGTGTGAACCACCATTATGTTTTACCTGGATCATTGAAGGATATCATTCCTAGTCTCTCAGCTTCTTCCCTTTTCCCTGCAACTTCACACACATTTACATCCGATCATCTCACTCCTCATCTCAGAATCCTGCAAAGTCTAAAGTCTTTAAAATGGTCCACCAAACCTTACACAATCTTTTCCCCCTTTACTTCTCTACCTATATCTCCTATCACTCTTCCCTCTGTTCTAGCTTCACTAGCTCTAACATTTCAGCATGTTCTTACCTCAGAACTTTTGTACTTACTGTTCTCTGCCTGGAATGCAATTTCTCTAGATAGCCTAGTGATTCCCTCAGTTCCCTTGCTCTTTGCTCAAATGTCACCTTCTCAGTGAGGCCAACCCCAACTACCCTGTTTAAAACAGTAACCCTGTATTAGAACAGATTGACTAGAGAAACAAATGCAGTGACATGCATCTATGTGTAAGAAAGAGTTTTATATCAAGAAGTAATTACATATCAAGAGTGTTCCAGCCCAGTTCAATTCAAGTCCATAAGTTCCATAACAGTCCATAAGTCCCTCTTATGGGACATGCAGCCACATGTAATGACGCAGAATGCAGAAAGATCACAGGTCGGAGGTTGCAGAGTTGTGTGGATCCAAGGTCAATGGAAACATGACAGGGCTCTGGCAACTCATAGGGCTCTGGCAACCAGTAAGCAGGAAGTTGAAGGTGGAAAGACAGCAGTTCCTAGTTTCTCATGTGCCAGAAGAAGCCAGCTTCTAACACAATCACTACGGGTTTGGTAGGCGCAATTGTACGTACAGCGATAATAAGTAAATATTATAGTAAAGTTATAGAGAGCATGAGAGATAAAAGAGATATATAGAAATAAATGAAGTCACACACATTTCATAGTAGCATGCTCACCTCAGCCCCGCTTGGTAATCCACGTGGAGGGAGAGCGAACTTTAATGCTCCCTAATCTTTTATACTGGGGACTTTGGGGACGTGCAAGCCCCCACATTATAGGAGAAGACATACATCACAGGAAAGGGTTGTGCTACAGGTATTACAGTGATGGAAGGGGGTGATCTAGGGACATACGCGCTACAGAAGGAGGTGGGATTGGGGGTGTACATGCGGCAAGATGGGCAGATCCTAGATTTCTGGTAGTAGCTTAACTTGACTTTGGGTCTGCATAGGAATCATTATCAGTCGGTTGTGAACTCCGCCCATAGGAACCAAACTAATGGCCTTAGGCTCCAGAGAGAGGTAACCCATTGTCTCTAGCAGCAGGGAGTAGGGCTAGTGCAGCCGGGCAACTGATGGCCCTCAGGGGGGGAAATGCCAGCCCACCTGACCTCCCCCCACACTCATGCTTGTGCCATCAAAGAATCATCAGGCTGCAACTTCATTGACAGGTTTGACTGTACCTCTATCTAGGAATATCTAGTTGATATAATATCATCTAACTACCACTACTCTCCTATAGTACTCCTTTATATTCCTTCCCTGCTCTATTTTTCTCCAAAATATTTATCACCATCTGACATACTGTATATTTTATTTATATATTTATATTTTTTCATTGCCTATTGGCCCTCATGAGTTATCAAGATGGAAAACAAACAATTTTAAAATTCAAAGTGAAAAATAATACCAGGAGGTAGTAAATGCTACATATAAAATAAAGAGCCTGATTAAGGATTAGAAAGCTAAGGTAGGGGAAATATCCAAGGAAGGTTTTACTAATAAGGTAACATTTGCTCAGAGAATTGAAGGAAGGTGAATTTGATAGTTAACGCTATGTGTCAACTTTGCTGGGCTTGAGTTCTTGGTGACTTGGCTATTAACATATAGCCATCTACCATGATAAGATATCATGTAATATAATCAACTGCATGATGATATCGGCTATGAGCAGCCGATCAATTGAAAGGATGTTTCCTCAGGGGTGAGGCCTGCTTCCAACATGTGGAGCTCATTCAAAACTTCTTGACCTTTGTTCTTTGGACTTTAGCCAGCACCCTGCCAT